CCTTCTCCACAGGAAACAGAAGAGGAAAGGCTGCCAGTATGAATGCAACTAAAATAAATCTATCATATGATAAAAGGCAATGATACTTCAAAATTAATATTTTATAATTACTAATTATAAATTACATATGAATTGTATAAATTATAATTATAAATTATAAAAACACATTGGTTCTCAGTAACTTGAGTGTAGTGACACAAACCAGACCTTTGGGCTTCCTGTTCAGCAAAACCACTCAGCTCCCACTTCATTACTTTTACTAACTAGAGGACATATTAAAATTAGACTGAACTTTCCCAGAATCTTAGGAGTAAGTTCACCTTCCAGCAGACCACAGAACAATCAACTCTCACTATTCCAAGAGAGGTAAATTTTCACATCTTTATTGCCAGCCACATAAATTAGGGTCTGATCCTACACACTCCTGTGAGAGATGTCTTACAACTGTTTTATAACTAGCACACTCTGTTCAACTGTTTTATTGTACTTTTAAAATTATCTTACTGTATAAGTATGCCTTAGAAAGCCTCCAGTGGGTTTGTACCCCTAAAATATGAAGACATACAAGAGAAGATTTTTTGATTTATGTAGTAAAAATATGTATATAGGATGTAGATTTTTCTTCCCAGCACACTTCCAAAAAAGTCTGCTCAACAATACAAGCATCTCTCCTGTGAAGCTCAAAAGCTGTAGGGCTCCTTTACCTAAGCTCTAACAAAGCAGTCCTTATTTAGGTCTTCCAGGACAACTTCTTCAGTCTGAATGAGTTTTTCTGAACAAGCCAAGTTTGGAATTTCTATCTTTGGTCATTTATCTCAGCATCAAATTTCTTATTAAAACCTGTGAGAAAACTGTTGGAAGGTTTTTATCCTCATACAAAGAAATCTACTAATTTCACTCTAAGAATCTTTGGCCTGAGATAGAAGATGAAAAATATGATCTTAAAAGGAATTTGTTTGAGAAAGATGAGAGTGACTGGGAGAAGGAGATTACAGTGCAAAACCGCTACCAAATTTTTAAAGTGGCAGGCACTACAACACAACCACTTGCTGTGGTACCAGAGAACAGAGCAGCCAAAAGTTGATTTCATCGTCCCATTGTGGAAATGCAGTTGATTTCTGTCCAACTGTATATCTTCTAGCAAATATGAAGGTAATATCCAGTTTCTCTTAGTTCATTCAAGTAAAAATTATGTACATTTTAAACTTATCTTTGGACTTTATGCTATGTTACTGGACAGACAACAGTAAGTAGCATTTAGCATCATTAAAGCACGTAGAAACATTAACTACTGTTACCCCTCATGCCCTTCTTTGGGGTAAGTAACCCCACGCACCATTAATAAATCATCAGTTACTGAATGGTAGCATTGACCATCTCCCATAGTTCTAGAATAAATACTGCAGGGAAGTACTTATGCTATAGCATGACAAATATTTTAATTAACAGGTGGTTTTGGAAGCAGGTATTATCATCCTCATTCTAACAAAAGGACATGAGATGCTGAGCTGGATCCTCAGCTGTATTTGACACAGCTCCAGTGACTGCTGGGAAATTACAATGAGAGATGTGGCCATGGAGATGTGTGGCCAACTGCAGTAAAAATCCAGATTTGCAGCACTGGTCTTTAATCTCAGGATCTGACCTTTAACCATCTAGAGCCCAATTTTCAGAAGGGCTAAATGCCCCCAGTTCAGAGGGAATACTGTAGTTGCCACTTTCGTTCTCCAAGGGAGACAGACGTCTGTGGACACTATCAATGTAACGTAAGCAGCCTAAAACCCCCAAGGTCTCTCTCAGGGGTTAAAGGCCCCAGGGCAAATGGGTGATGGAGCCAGGGTGGGTGGTGTGCCGTAGACCCCAGCTCCGGCACAGTACCCTGCCCTGCCACAGCCCTGAGCTCTCCCCTGGGTGCCACCCACACACCAGCCATAGGGGAAAGAAGAGAGAGATGGTAAGAGGGGTGAAGCCTGGTACAAACATGCACCGCATCACACAGGTGGAGTTCAAGAGGGTGGATTTACAGCTACATTGATTTAGAAGAGTCACAATTAGTGGGAGTCCCGTTTTTCTTTCCTCATAATTTCTGTTAATATTATTTGTCATGCTTGCAATCAGTCTCTTACAAAGTGACTTTAATTTTTCTTATAAAGTTAAAAAAAACCCCTAAAACAAAACCCAAAACTAACACTGTAAAAAGATTGTCGCTAAAATGGTTCTCTGGAAACTCTGGGAGCAGGACCAGTTGGCGCAAAATAGCTGCCTTCTGGAAAACAAGGCAACAGGGCCCAACTGCTCCCAGCACTTCAGCACAGGTACAGCTCCACTCGGCAGAGTTAGCGTGGCCGCATGAGCTGGCCAGGTCAGGGACTACTTAATGCACGTGCTCAAGTATCCCCCTGCAATGAAAAGCCAGGACACATGGCGCACTGGTCATAGCCTTTTAAAGAAAAGAATCTTCACAAGACTTCTATTTTAAGCTCCAAAGTATCTCTAGAGCTTCTTTCTTGGTCAATTTGTTCCATCTACACAGCCAAAGGCATGCCTGGAGCTCACACTCTCCTTATCCAGCTTTTAGGTAAAGACCCCCAACTAAAGCCTGGGCCGCTGCTACCAATCTGCATGCAGGCTCCTTTGATGCCTGGACTGGCATTCTGGTTGTCAGGTTGCGCTAACACCTGCATACTGAAATTCTACCGCTTTTGGTACCCCCACCAGGCACCTAACCTGGCATCGGCAATAAAATGTGCACATGGAAAAGGCACACCTTCCTTCTGCTCTGTAGGAATTAGCGTCTGAAAGGAGCTACCTTACACTCAAACTGAGGAGTTAAAAATAAACTGAATAGTGTTGTCTTCCCAGACTTTACAGGTATGCACATGTGCAATGTTTTTATAAAATACTATCCTTCGAATCATTTAAACAAATTCCCACTCTATGGAGAGGTCTGCATTAACTTTAGACAACATTTAAGGAACCGGAAAAGGTCAAATTGGTATTACAATACAAATGGTGACCTTGTGTCCATTAGTGTCTTCTGGGCAAGACAACTGCCTTCAGTTGCATTTCTTTAACAGAGGGAAGAACTTGGCAGTTTCATTAACACAGCAGTATTAATGAAAAAAACATGAGACACCTTCACTCCATTAGGCATTTTAGCAAAAACAGGACAAGGGAAAGAGGAAGAGGACAAGGAAATAAACCAGGCTAGCAGAAGGTGCATTGAACATAGGTAAGACCACAAAACATGAAAACCCCACAAATTTTAACATGCAAAGGATATTGGTACATTGCAACGCTGGTTATGGTTAAAGAGACTGTACAGCTCCTATATCTTTGTCCTTGAGGCTTCGTTAAAGTAAGACTCTCAGTTGCAAGTTCATAAATAAAATGGAAATGACAGTAGTGCCATAAAAACATAGGTAGAAAAATAGTGCAAAGCCAAGGGCTGGACACCTTAATCTGTCACAAGTACCCCCAAGCACTAACTACCATTACCGCTTTTAAAGAAAACACATACAAAAAAACATTCTCTATTTATTATAAATGGCAGTTGCCTGCATTGCACTCTGTATTTAGAACGTACTGACTACCTTTCTGCTTCCCTTCGAAGCTGTGGATGGAGAATAAATATAGCCTTTCACACTGGTGAGCACTGCCTGCCCTCCAGTCATAACTGGTAGCAAAGTCAGACAGTATTTATGAAAGAAATCAATTAAAAAGTAAAACAGATAATATCATTTAAGGCCTTTGTCCCTGCTAGTCTGCTCAACAGACTACACTTTCTTAAAATAAGAACATCTACCACTTCTGTTACAGTAAGCAGAGAGCGAAGTTAAACAAAAAAAAGGTCACATTTATGGCTGCCAAGAAGGCAAAGTTCCTGAGGCTCGGCCAAACGCAATAGCAAAGACGCTCTTCGCAGCACTCTTCGGGTGCCTCGCACTGTGTGCACGGAGAAGGGCAGACCGGCAGAGCGTGAGCCCGACATGATGCTCAGCCTGGGCATCTCATTTAAACCTTGCAGCCCTTATCGAAAGGGGTTTGGAATTACAACGGATTATATAGTGCAAACTCGTATCAATTCCCACAGATATAAAATGCACAGACGGGAGTTCAGAACAAAAGCCGCCACCGGCCAGGGTTGTGAGGAGCACCAGCCATTAAGGAAATAAACTCCAGGGAGCAGAGCCTGGAGTAACTCCAGCTCTTCAGCGAGGTTTCAGTGAACTTACACAGATGTAACTGATACCAGGGTCTGAATCAGTTTGGTGGTGAGGCACCAAATTAAAATGAAGGGTTCATTAAATGACAGCCTTTCAGATTCAGAGTAACTTAAAATTATTGGTAACAGAGTTTGTTAACCTTGAGCGGGACAGAAGAAATACCCACCAATGGATGGAGCTTACGTTTACACAGCATTTCTCAACTATTCACTTCAACAGGTCCATAAGGTTTAAAGGAGGGTTTGGCTTAGCCTGGTCTGAGTCAGTTTTTGACAGGGTTCTTGCTGCCACCCCATGTAAACTGTTGAAAAAATATACTGTAGAAAATTAACTGTCCATTATGCACTCGGTATATGCACGCACATGCGGCCACTCTATATATGCACAACCAAGACGCCAATACCGTGCACAAAATAGGAGCTGTAGCATGGCCTTTCTTAAAATATTAGCTTCATGGTGAGTTTACTACACCCATGTTACTGACAAAAGGCAGGGAAATATGCATACGCCTAATATTTCAAGGTAGATATGTCATGTTTGATCTGAAAAAATAACAGCTTTCTCAAGGTAGTCCAGTCTCTCAAAAGAGAACCCTATCTTAGTTTTAAATAGATTTGTTGGGTTTTACTTCTGTAATTGAGATCAATGGTATAAATCAAATTGATTTCAATGCTGAAAGAAATGCCATGGCAGCCAGTTGACAGGAAACTGTCAAATATATTTTCTTAACAGTTTGTTACCTTTAACGGGACACAAGCTAGCAGGCAGAAGAACTTCATCAGGCTTTTCCCTCTCCCCCTTTCATAAAATACCCCAAATTTTCTCAGAAATCTGAATGTCACCAAGAGCCGACAGAAAGCATGACAGTAATGACTGGGTCTGCAGAGTAGTACTGCAGGATCAAGTCATGTTCAGCTGACGGAAGATGGTAAAGTTCTAGCAGTCTCAAAAGGTGGCTCATATTTAAGGGTATGAACTACTGAACGGTGTGCCATTTTCCTTTTATAAAACAAAACCTTATACCATATGTACTGCAGAATTATCTAGACTTTTCCCACACTGGGATTTGTTAGTGATAGAGTAGCCTGTAAAGAATAGGCACTTATCCCAAGAATTGGCAAAAAAGGGAGTATTATTTGGTAGGTATGGCACCAAAATACAACCATTGTGCTTTCTCACATACATATGCTGTACAGATGGAGGCTCAAACAGACACAGAGTTTTAGGTTGTTGGCGGGCTGTGTTTTTTCTTTTTGCTTCGGCAAGATTTGCAAATGCAGCAGATAATGCATGGAGATGCCACAAGCAGCAAGGGAGAGGTCACCAATGCTATGATACCTAGTCCAACGAGGATCCCCACAACCTGAAAGACATGGTGGGGAAAAATATGTATTTAGCTAATATGGAACATAAAATACATGTCTGCATGCATAAGCACAGCATAGGTCACAAAAAATAGATGAAAACATGAAAACAGTCATCTTGGTCCTTCACTGAAGGGTAAAATCTCTTTGCTTCATGCATGCATGAGAGCTCTGCTCAGCCGACTAGGAACGCACCTGTGTTCTGTTCCACATCACCGAAGCCCGCGAGTGGCCCAGCTTGTTTCTGCAAGGGCCTCTGTCGTAATGTCTTAAGAAGATATCATTCTGAAAAACAAAAGGAGAAGCTGTAAGAGCAGGTTACAGTACTGCGGGGAGAGGTTCAAGACTGGACTGGAAAAACAACTTTCCTGCCACTGCTTTAAAATAACCAGCTGCCAGCACTCAAGTTCATCTGTCTTCCAAATAATTATCTAGAGAAACTTCTTGCAGTTCCAAAAAAGTGTGGTGTATTTCGGACCTGAGCTGTTGTATAGTGTCCTTCCTCCACCACTTTTAAAAAGCATAAGCGTTGCACCTATTGCACAGTTACCTAGTCTGTAATTTGGTGATGATAAAGGGGTCTGTAAACAACAGATATTTCTGAAAGCTAGCAATCTGAGCGATCATCTTCCTGAGGTACCTCTACTGTCTGGTCTCCTGCTGTACCTACACTTTATAGTAATTTTCTTCCTAGGCTTAACAGGAAAATCTAAAAAGTAGGAAATCCCTGTTTCCTTTCTCTTTTCCCAGTAATACTTATTAAATTATCCATTTTTTCTTCAGAAGGTGACTAACGCTCTGCATTATCCTCCCTTAGCCACCTGCACTGTAACCTGATGCTGGTTCCTCTCTTCTTTTTTCAGCCCTACTCTTTGGCTCTGCAGGTATTACCTTCATCTACACCTGGAGCTCCTGTAACCCTGCATATTTAGAAAAACTACATTTGAATCACACAGCTACAGTTTCTTTTTTCTTCCTCCTTTGAACTGACGAAAACTTGGTAAGGGCATGTCTGCAGAGTCTGTGAGAATCTGACAGTCTTCCAGCTCAGCACGGTGTTAAGCAATCATTGTGTACTCTATGTACTCTGAGGCAAACGGTAAGACTCATGTTGAAAAAGCAGGCTCACACACACAGAAACAGGACGTATCGCTAAGCGAAACCTGTTTAGCATGCTGAGAAAAGGAAGGATGAAGAATGAGGAAGTCTCATTGTTTGCTGGCTGTGGAATACCAAAAAGAAGAAAAGAAAAGCCATGTAGCATGTAACATTTTATTTCAAGTGCTGGTAAAGTCCTTTTCACACTCCCACAGTTGTTACTGATGACTGTGCCAAAAAGGGAAGCTGTCATATACACAAGCACATTACTTCCTGTGCTCTTAATCCTGCTAGGAAGCTTGAAGTCGATATGAGTTGAGACTAGTTGGTATCACTTGAGAAATAACTAGCAACCTGCACTTCCTGCACTACTCCATGTTCATAATCCAACATTTTTATCCTCAAGCGTACTAACTAATCATTCTCTTCAGCAAACATGGCACTAGAGATGGACTAGTAAAGGAGACCTAGTCCATATGAGCTCTTAACACACCTGCCCATAAAACAACACCCTTCACGCAGTACCATACCATTTTTTGGACAGGCTGTGACCCTTGCAGTTGGAGCAGGTAGAAGACACTTACTTCCTGGCTCTCAACCAAACTATCTTTACTGCACTGGAAGAGGGAATCAGAGAAAGGTAGTGCTGGAATGGACCTCCAGAGAGCAACCAGTTTGTCCCATTTCCCTCAAAAAACTAGCGTGGGACCCACAGACATGGCTATAACCCTTTATAGAAAAAGAATGTTGATACAAATAAAAGCACTGGATGAATGAGAAGAAAGAAATGAAGTTAGAAGCTGAATTGAGCCAAGACGTACACTAGGATATCAACAAGTTGGTGGAGAGCTTGTACGGGGCCTCAGACTAATCCCAACCCCGTTACTCTTATCTAGCTGTCTTTTTCTGCAGCACTTACATCCAAGTTCTGTAGACAGTACCAGCAAAACGTGTGCTTGCAGTTCTTGCACATCATCTGAGCACAGCCCTCGTTTCGCTCAATATAGATCCGACAGACTGGGCACTGCTTAATTGGTGCCTCTGTCCCCGTTCCAATAAGTGATCTAGAAGAAAAGGGAAATATTAATGTGAAATGTGAACGTAATTACTGTTGATATTCAGCTCCACTGCCTAATGTGTAGGTGTTTATTTTAGAGAGCATCTGATGTTGTTGTCTTAATGCACTTAATGTGTGAAGCTTGTTATATCCAGTACAATACACTGGAGTATACTCACTACTAGGTGTAAGATCACGTAAAAGTGAAACTCTATTCCCTTGGTCTTCTATGCTATATAAAACCAACACTCACTGTACCCACAAATGTATCACCTATAGCATTAAAAAATACCACTGTGTAAGACAGCTTGCACCATTCATTTAATAGGACTGGATTATGCAATTTACAGCACTGTCCCTGCCTGAGCAACATAGCCTTAAACTCCACCAAAGCCAAAGATCAAACCTGGAGAAGAAAAATTATGGTGAGAGTGCTTTGGCAACTCCTACTTGATGAAGTCTCTAGCAAGCAGAATGCTTAGATTTTAAGTAAGTCTTTCATTTCTTGCAAAAAATTATAGAAAACTTTGAACACACATGACTGAGCTTAATCTGATTCTGAAAACAAAGATGGACATTATATAATTTAAACACAAGTGTTTTCTTTCTGTAGATTAATGCTTTATGTAACCTTATCTGTAGGTTGTTTACACCTATGCAAAATGAGCATAAACCAGATTTCTCACACCAAACGGGACTTTTTACACCCACTCCGTGTAAGAGTTAAGATTTGGCTATGCAGAGATCCTATAAATATTAAGCAGGGGTGATTTCTTAATCATAGTATAAGCAAAGTTTGGATCCCGGAGTATTACTGTATTGGATTTTTTGTATGGGCACAAATCATAATTCTAGCAGGCAAACAAAGCCTTTAGGAAGATTCGAAGCCCTGAAGGGCTTCACCCGTCAGAATTGTCAGTGGCATCACAAGTTTGGGAAGTACCCAATCAATATTAATAATAAGTATTTAAAAAAACAAAGGTATCATTTAAACTAATATTTAGACTGGAATTATGTTTAGGAAACAGCAGGAGAGATGGAAAGTCTCACAGATGCACCGGAGATGTTAGAAGGAAGCCAGTCCATGAAACTAATATGAGGCACAGAGCTAGCACCCTGTGCCAAAAGGAACTGAAAGACCATGTTGCCTCCGTGGGTTCCCCTCTTACCCCTGCTCAGTTGGTACTGGAGTAGTTTGGTTTTCCTGGCATAGGCGCTGTGGGTGCCATGCCTCCTTGCAAGAGGAGCAGAAGGCCAGGTGGCAAGCCGGGCACTCCACTGGCACCGGCGCTCCTGACTTGCTCGGCGCAATATGGCACACCGTTTGGCAGTCAGCTGCAGGGCACCATGTCCTCTGGGGGTCCAAGTGGACTTCTGAAACGTAACAGAGAGAAAAATAAAGCTTTACAGAGTCCCCTTCTCATTCCAGTGACACAAGACCCAATTCTGTGTCTGGGTGGGAAAGCTGAAGCCCTCCGTGCCCATGCCCATGGGCATTCAGGCCTAGTCCTCTTCTTTAGGCAGGTCCGCAGTTGTGCTCTGCTAAGGCAGTTGCACTGGAAGCATCATGAGAATGGCAATACACGACATGGGACGTGTTCTTTGCCTTTACAGGGAGGGACAAAAGACGAACATAAGTGCTGCTTGCTGAGAAGCGCATGTCTTGTGACATTAGGCCATTCCAGGTCTTTCACATGTGCAAGCCATGCAGTAACTTTCACGTAAATAGCAGAAGGACTATCATTAAATTAAGGTCAAGTCACTTTCCATGCCTTATTTATTCCCCTGTATCTACAAACTCCGATTAATATTCCCTTTATTATGTGATCATTATTTCTCAGGTATCAGATTACAACAATAGTCAAGGTAAGAGTTGGGGTGGAGGCACTGAGTTACAGACGTCACCGCATGGCAGAGAATGGATAAATGTTGATCCTTCCTCTCATTCCCCAACCTTTATGCAAGGAATTTGGGGGTGCAACAGAAACCCAGCTGAAACACGTTCACTGTTAGGGGTGCCCATTCTGTGTGCGCTTCCTACTGACTCAAGTCCATGAGGTACAGCCAAACACTCCCACCCTGCAGAGCCTCCTCAGAAAAGGGCTGTTGTGCCTGCAGGAGCTATCTGCCTCTCCTCCTTCCTTGGGAGCTCTCTGGTACCACCACTGAAAATAAATAGCTGGAGGGGATGTCTCAGGAACAGGTGGAAATCCCTGAAAGTGAGATGTCAAAAGCCATTACACTGTTTTTCTGTACCTCCAGCAGATAAAATATTGTCCTGCTTGAAACAAAAGGCTGCACAAGGGCCCCACACATATGTTCTCTGATGAATTTTGCTGAAATAACTGAAGGCACTTCCTCCTATGCACAGCCTCCTGCCTGCACTGCCCCTCTGCAGGAGGTTGCTGGTAGCCCACAGTGAAGGGGGCTGGTGGATGGATATCTAGCAGATGCTCCAGTCAACATGAAAAGCAGTGTTATCGGTTCAGTGTCCAGATACCCAGAAAGCAGAAACTGTACAACTAGAAATGTGTTCAAAGAAGTAAAATTCTTCCTCAAGATCTCAAGCATTTAGATACACATACATGAACACCTGGGGAGAAGGACACCTCAGAAACATCATAACCTAACGTGCACTAGAAACTCAGCTCTCTTCCAGCATGCCAAACCTCTCTGTTCACCTTGAAAACTTCCAGTTTGTTTAAAGACAGACCTCCCTCCCATTTGTCCAGGACACTTACAGTGAGGGACCATGTAAGGATGATCATCCTCTCTGCTGGCTGCAGGACACACAGGTACACAATGCTCTGACTTCAGGTAATTTTTAAGTCTGTGTCAGAGTCCTCTGAAAGACGTGGAGAATTTCTACATCCATGGCAAAGGCTGTCATGTATAATTTAGGCAGTGCCAGCAAAACACCTCTACCATCTACCTCCAGCCACTTCATGAATCTAGTTACATTCTTTCCTCTTATTCTCTTACACGTGCTTCCTTTGCCCCCCAAAATAAGCAATCATTTTGCTTTCTACTCAATGAAAGCCAGAACAAAATAGTTTGCAGCTTCATTTGTGGGGAGAAGAGGGAGACATGGATGGGCAGTACAAGGCATTTTACATTTTTATATAGTTTTAAAAAGTAGTGTCCTGACTGAGAAATCATTATTTCTGTAGCTTCCTTTGGTGACTCTTAAAAGAAACACTGAACTGGATAAGACCGTGGCCTAATACTGACAATTGCATTTAAGTCTTCACACAATAGGTTGTGTATGCTTTCTGTTGATAAACAGCTTTAAAATGAAATAAAATGCAGTTCCTGCAGATACCTGCTTAACACACTCAACTTTGGATATCTAAAGTCTCCTACCCTTTTTTTGGATGAAAGACAGAATGTCTGGTTTTGACATCATTGGGACGACGGGAGTTGGGTTATAAATCTTACTGATTTTTACAAATTTGTTGCAGTAAGATGTAATGCATGAGATGAAATTCCCTCCTCTCCCACTTCCTCCATTTTACAAAGAACCTACAGATGGCATTTTGCAATCCATGCTGTCTCATACTGTTTGGTTAACCATGGAGTACAAGTGAAAACAGAAAAAAAATTAAAAGGAGCAGCCAAAAAAAGGAAAGAGGCTATCATATTGCTCTGACAAGCTGCTCCATCTTTTGGTTAGGGCCATTTCTCTCCCGAGCCTTTCCCCTGCTTCCCCACAGCCAGTTCAGCCACACTTCTTCCACTCTCAGGAGGAAAGCCTTCCGGAACATTGCCAGTACTGGGCATGGATCTGGCCAGTTCTCACAAAACATGTGAACAAGCAGGTGAGATGTGGGAGACAGATGGGGGAAATGCAGCACCCTGAAGAAAGGAAAATTTCTGGCTCAGCGGAGGTACTCACTGAAAGGATGAGCCAATGCCTTTCACAGAATATTAGGAACATCTCCTTTTAAAATGGATTACTTTTTGGTCCAGCATAAAGTGGAGGTTCTCATCATCTACCACTCAGCCTATTGGGCAATTGTCACAGAAATAGAAATATAATGCATATGTCCTAACCACATCCTATTCCTCTATTTCATTACTTCTGACAACCACATCAACCCCATCCTAAACAGACAGAGCAATTCCTGTTTCTTCTATTAAAATATGCTGCACGGAAGCTCTGTGGCTAGGTCCTGACTGGATGCAGAGAAGTTACAGATATGTAAGAAAGCTTGGTTTTAAGCCTGAAAACATTTGCATTCTATGAACACAAAACCCACAAGAGAATAGCATATTTTCACTGCATTCCTTATTTAACTAAGCAAGTGTCTATAGATACACAATTGTATGCCAATTACTTCTCACTACTTTTTCACTCAATATTATTTGCCCATTTTTTTAAAAAACAGGGACATGGAGAGGAAATCTATTTTAATAAAATAGCTAGCACAGATGGGGGATGGGGAAAATAGCTTTTGGATGTCTAAGTCCTTCTTCAGGTCTTCAAGATTTTCCTCAAAATTCATCTCATGATGGAAAACGTCTGGAAGAGTGAGAAGCATTTGCTTTACCAATCACTTGAAGACTGGTAAGCAAAGACTACAGAGCAAGAGAAAGTCTTTCAACTTACCCAAGAAGCTGGTTATTTATTTCTAGTAAAGCAAAGGGGGTGCTGAAGCAAAGAGCCCATATCTCAGCAGAATAAAGCTGAGAGAAGAAGGGTGTAAATATAGGAAGCTGAAGGGTTTGAATAAAGGGCTTTGTTGATCAGAGCAAAAGTCATGAAGGACACCCTAGTACCTGCCTATTTTAAGGGAGGAGAGGGCAGAGTTAGGCAGTAGCAGCCTGGGTTTTTCATAATGCTAGGTTTGAAAAAGGCTACGTCGCACTAAAGCTGACACAGACACAAGGCACACAACAGATCTCAGCTGCTGGGAGTCCCCAGGCAGATTCTGGGTCAGAATTCGGCCCCAGCAGGTGCCATCAGCAAGGTTTATTGCTAGTTTCAGAAAAAGACTGTCAGGCCAGCATTGCCTTGGTCAGAGCAGGCAGGCTTTGCCAGGTTAGGGTCAGGTCTGAGAACAGAGCTTCAGGCCAGCAGAAGCTAATAAGCCAAGTCCAACTGATGAGTCCAAAAAGGCCAGCCTTGGGGGCAGTGCTAAATCCAGGATAGGCAAAAGGTCTTGGCCAGGGTTGGGATTAGTGCTGGTGTCCAGGTCAGAGCTTTAGTTAGCAGGAATCGTTGTTCCCAGGCACCAGTAAGCTGGATTTATTGCTGGGGCCAGTAGGCAAGGCAAAAAGGCTATGTTTAAGCCTGCTGCTTGGATGCCAGTTTTATTCATCATAAAGGAGAAAGGACAGATCTTAGAAACATAATGAAGAGAGGTAGTGGAGGTGGATGAGGATTTGTCAGACTTAGGCAAGAAAGAAAAGGGAAGGAATATTTAAAATACAGACAAGTTTCAGGATTCTGAGCGTGGGAGGCAGTGTAAAAAAAAAAAGGAGATGTTACAGGGATTTGGACAAAAGATCATGAGTTCAGCTCTGGCTGGTTAGAGAGGAAGAGATACCGGGAAACCATTAGTTTCACAGTCCTGAGTTAAAAAAAAGGTTTTACATAGAACAGATTAATGTATTGCAAGATGTCTCTCTTTTGTAACCCTTTAATATGGTCATTTAACAAGCTCTGATTTCCACTGTCTAGGGTTGTAGACAAGCCACTGCTTGGTTTATGAACTGGAGGGACTTCCTAAGGAATGAATGATAAATGACAAGAAGGTAAAATAGGAGAGAGAAATAAAAAATGAAACCAGGGTTTGGGATTTTTTTTCTTTTTTGGCCTGAGTGCCTGCAAATCATAGCTACAATCTGCATCTCTCCATGAACTCTGAGGCATACTTGGGTATACTCATTTTGCAGTTTTTATACTTCGTGGTCATTCACTGTGACTCATACCAGATGAGATTCTGTAAAACCCCATATATTCTTCAATCTGACCATCTTATCAAGTGCATTACTGTGCCTAACTTTTATGAACCTCTGCATTTTCACACACATTCCCAATCCATCTGCATCTAGGCATGCATGCAAAGCAAGAACACAAATACAGTCTTTCAAGGGAAGTTTGAAAACAGGCAGAGTCAGGACAGGTCAGTCCCAGATACACTACCCTGCAAGCTACCACAGAGTGAGTTCTTTGAAAAACGCTGCAACTTCCAGCTGAGACTTTCAAGTTGGTGTCAGTCTTTAAAACCAGCATGGGACCTCATCTCTCTGACTAGCAAGTTTCTTCTTCAGCCTTGGCAAGGAACCATCTCCTGAGGCAGAAGGCTGACCTCTGGCATAGGAAAGCTTGGCCCCAGTAAGACCTTCAGTTTCAAACTTCTTTACTAATAGGCCTTACTCAGTAATGAGGGGTCCAATTATCCCTCAGGAAAAACCAAAATATACTAGATGAACACACATGAGACTTCTACATTAGAAAAGCTCTCTTGCAGGGATGTTTGCAAAAATCCCCATCACACTGTCTCCCTCAGAAGTTCTGAAGATCCCTGTGGATGTACAAAAGGACCATGTGCACCCTGCACCAGCCTCTAGCTCCTTGTCTAGTTCTACTAGTACAACCAGCATCTCAAGGACCCAAGATGAGCATGCTGCAGGAAGAACGGTGGAGCCTCAGGCACGCAATCTGAGAGTGTTGTCCATAAGCTTGAGTAAAAGCGTGGTATTTCAGTAAGATGCCACTCTGTTGATTCTGCTCCACTGAAATAATTTCAAATTTGTCTGTGGAGCACAGTCAGACCTAGTGATTGCTCTTAAACTATTTCACAACAAAGACATCTTCTCTGTCTCTTCCTGAACTCACCCAACAGGCTTTGTCTTTGCAGTGTCTAATACTGCTGCCTCCACTGACACTTAAAAAGGAAGGTAATAGAAACCAAAAGGTTCGCACCTCGTTCAAACTTCAGCCTCTTGTATAACTGAAACTGGTCAACAGGCACCAAACATGCAATCTGAAATGAGAAACAAACACACAGAAAAAGCATTAGAAACACAGACTTGAAAAAAATTAATAAGCACTCTGTTCTACACGCCTGCTGTCCTGAGCTGGCTTTCAAATCCACCTTCTTTTCCTGGTTACTTTCACCACCACGCTCCTCCATACCTTGACTTCCTTCTCCAAAATGTAAAGTAGTTCTTGACCTCTCGTTTTTCAGCTACACAGTCCAGTAGTTCAGCCCACGCCTTTCTTACCATGCATAGGAAAGCCTTCTCTCTGGATTCTGCATTTACTTCAGGCTTCTCAGTTTTATTTCTTGTTGGTTTAATGTAACGAAGGGTGACAGCTTGCCAGCCTTGGAGACTGCAGCATGTTGTTCATGCACAAGAATACAACTCAAATGAAAGGTTTCTCATTCATGTCTCCCAGTCTTAATGGCAGGGGTCACATAGCTCTCAGGAACTTAAAAGCTAGTCTGGTTTCCATTTTTTATTCATTTCATGGGTTTGGGGCTGAGACAGTTAATGCCATTCCTGTTGGAATTTGCCTTAGACATGCACCAGACCACTGGGAACTGGACTGAAGTTAACAAATTTAGTTGGCATACACAAACAGGCTTTGCTGATACATTTTACACATTACCATAATTAAACTAGCAGCCTAAAAGGCTAAATGCTCTAATCTCCAATTAACAGTCTACGTAAGAAAACCAAGAACCCTATTTAAAACTAATAAGCAAACCTGCATACAGGGTAAGGAGGGGTTCAAAAGAAACTTCACAGACACTTCAGGAGCCACGTTTGTTGGACTCAGAATCTGAGATCATTCTCTTTATTTGATCCATTTGTAATACTGTACCAGCACTGAAAATGTCTTTCTCTTTTACTGAAAATAAATTTAGACCAATATTGATACAAGACCTGATCATTTGAAGCACTGTGAGACAGCGTAGAACTGACAGCTTCAAAGTGAAGGGCTCTCAACCCTCACATCCAGTTTCCCACCACAGTCCTTCAGATTATTGTAAAAGGCAAATTTTTGCCCTCAGTGAAGCAGACACTGGCCTTTGCTATCCTGGGTTGTGTGACAAGGCACTTGTGAGAAGAAATACAAAAAAAAATTCAATATATATTCAATATCATGCTGTGAATACATTTGCTTTCGTAGATGGGAAAAAAGAAACAAATATATCCATGTGTATATTATAAAATATGAAATTGCTTTATTGAGATCTCAAATCAATTGGAATTAAAATTGCATTTTGAATTGGATGTTTGGATCACTTATTTGACCTAAACCAATGTCATACAAAAAATAATCCAACTCATGTCAAGATTTAAGTGTTCAAAGATGCTTAAAAGACTTTGAGTTGAAGAAATCAAAAGATTTAATATCAAAATGGGAAACACCAACAAATCTTTACAAAGCATATTCTTAGTCTAGTAAGTCAGCCCTGGGTCAAAGTACTGCTCTCATTCAGTTTCTGAATTCAGGGTGTAGACTATTTTTAACAGGGAAGTATTTGCATGGCTAAACAATATTACATTAATATGACTGTAAGACACAGAGAGCCTCCTGGGAAACTCTTCACCTATTGATCAGAAGTCAGCTGAAACACTCTTGGAAAACAAATGGTAACTTAATCAAATGGGGAAAAAAGTGTGAAGTTCAGCAGCTTCAGCAAAGAATGAAGCTAACCAACAAAGCTATATAAAACCCACAAGACACATCATTTCAGTATTGCCCACTCCTCCCCAGGGCAGCTTCAATTCTAAATAGAGTTTGGAAAACAAAAAGAGTCATCTGCTTTTCTCTAGCTGGGTAAGCATTGGCAACTACTTTAAATTTTCCTTCATTACGACATAAATTAAAATAGCAAGTCTCAATGCTGTAAGAGCCACTTGAGTGAATTGTTTAGTTGTCTGGGGTCTTTCTGTGCTTGCTTTTGCTTTTAACAAACAGTTTTTCAAGAGCAGTTCTATTGAGCCCAGAATTTCCCATGTATTAAAAATTGTCCTTTTTGATTACAGTGGGAGCAGAGTAGGAGTTTTATTGCAGATTTCAACAGGAAGCATAGTCAGTGCTGAAAGCTTCCTTTTCTCCCATTGAAAACCTGATCTTACCATGCCAGCCTTCCCTACTGGTTTCACCCAGCCCCACTCTTCTTCCTACGTACCCTCTTCACAGCTCAGCTCCCCTCTCCCCGCACGCAGCTCGGGGCGTTGAACACAGGCAGCCCGTCACCTCTGCCACTGACTCCCCCAGGCTTTGAAAGACCAGCTCCTGATAGCACCCGCATGGAGGTCAACCTGAGGGGTGCTGAGCTGAAGCCTCTCACAGATGTAGTATCTTTAGGCACGAGGAAAGGAACGCACAACCTGCTGCTGCCTGAATTCAGTGTCCCACGTCAAAGCTGTACGTGCAAACTCAATTGAAAAAAAAAAGAAACGTGAGTATCAGGTCGCCCCAAAACCCAGCAAATCCTTTCCTCAGTGAACTTTTAATCTCATGTATGATTAATCGAGAAGGACAGCCATAAGCATGGCAAGGGGATTAGGTGTTTATCTCCTACTTGGCATCAGAGTCTAAATGTTCGTCTTCGTACAACTTCTCCATCCCCACCCAGGAGTCCATCCCAAACATTCCTCTGCTGCACACCCGCACACACCCCCGGGCCGGGCAGAGGATGGAGACCTAGGGAGGAAGCAAACCGGCAACCTGGCAGATGGCAAAGGGCCAAAAGAGAAAGACCATGAGCACGTCAGAAAGCAGACGTTTCTTATTCTAGGCTGTGAAATTATTCAATGCAGCAAGAAATGCTACAGGACAAGTTTCGGGGTTGTAGGTTTTTTTTTTTAAGACTGGGTTAAGGTTACAATAAAAACCTATGAAGAAAATGAGAGGCAAGGACTCTCCTCTCCTGAAAAGACATTTATTGTTGATGTATCAGGCTGCTGGGAGACGAACTAAGTTTTCTGGTTTTCTATACCCTGTAAGCAACGTCTGCAGCTAAAATAATCTTGTTATAGAGCACAAGAACACATAAGAGCTCTCGTTAAGAACAGCAGCTTTCACTTGAAGTAAAAACATCTATGGAAAAAAGCAAAATTTTGAAGGTTCCCTACCACAAAAGGCTCCAGCTGGACCCTTGCCAAGTGTACAAAAAGATCGCCCAACGTGATATGATAACTGGGGGTGCTGTTACTATGTGAGACAAAAGAGCAAAGGAAGAAAAATGAAAGGGCTTGAAGTAATTGGGTTCAGTTTACACAGGGGCAGCCTGTTCCTTGTAACCTGGGCAGTGCAGCAACCAGGAGCCAAGGAAGAACAACTCCCCTGTTTTTAAACACTGGCTACCACAGTGGAAAGGGAAAATCACTACTCCACCTATTCTCAGGCTTTCAAGGGACATGCAAAGAGGCAATCAAGAAAACTGAATAGATCTTACTTCCTTTCACACCCGTATGAATCAAACCTCGATAATGCTGAGGGAGGGCAGTTCACCAGGACAAGTGCTTCTCCCTTTCTCGCTTTAGCAGATATGCAACAAGGGCAGATCCTGTACTGGCAGCAGCAACAGCCGCTTGCAAAGGGTTGCATTGCCCACCTCTGCAAAAGTCCCACTCACAGAGGCACTGTCTAGTTTTGCAAGGAGTGCAAAATAGTTTTAACTTGGGCTGTGGCTTGCTTTTGAAAGGGATATGGGAGTTCAATCTCTTTATTTTTAGAAATTACACCCACACCTTTCTTCATCAGCTACCATGCTCACTAGAGTCATCATGAAATACTAAATTATTCATTTTCTCCATTAAGGAGCTCTTCTCTTATTTAGTGACAAATAAAAACAAAATTAAGACTCTCTCATTTGCTCCCCTTGGACTTATTAAAAAATGAGTAAATAAGAAGAACAAAAATTTTAATATTGACCCTGAAAAAGCTAGGTCGGCCTGCAACATTTTCTCACCTTCCTCCTCATTTTACCATTTCAATTGCCCCTAGCAAAATGTAAACCAATTTTCAAATTAAAAATAAAACTGGTATTTTAAACTGACTCCCAATGGTATTTTTGTTCAGCTATGTATGGAATATAACACCGTTAAGAATTCTAAGATCTGGGTCACTGTCCCATTTCAGCATCGCTTTATGAAGCACTGACAACCCTCTGTCAAGTTAGCATCGGTGTAGATCATGGATTTACACAGACAGAGAGACAATAAGCACCATCTACACTGCATGCAAAGGGGTGATTCTCCTTGTCAAACTTAAGAGGCAAAAGGAGAGCCCAAATCAGTATCTTCTTTAGTGCCTGCTGCATGGTTTTAATCCAAATCGGATTATGTATACATGGATCATTGGCATCAGTGTTACAAGCTTCAAAACAATACAGGAATCAGAAATAGCAAAGCACAATCCCCTAGACATTATCCAAGTGTGTATTGCATTAGAAATCCCTGTATGCAGTTGAGACTTACCCTGATTCATAGCTTACACTGGTGACTGGATTTGCACCATGTAAAACCATTTCAAACCATGATAAATTACCCCTTATTTAGATTAGGTATATTAACTTATCCAATTAAATCAATGGAGCAAATTCCCAAGAGAGACAGGAATATTCGAGACAGAAGAAGTCTGCATGGTTGAAGACAACTGCGTTAACATAAGATGTTCCTCCTACCTTCTGTTTCCAGGAAGGAATCCAAATCATCTTTGTTTATTGTACTATTAGAGCTTGAAAAGACAAACATCTTGTTTAATGAGATTGCCTTTAAACTTCCCTTTTCTTTGTGTAACCAGCTATTTGAAAGTCTGTAGCTAAAACCATTGCCTTCCCACCACTAACACCCATTTATTTCTACTTAAAACCAGCTATACTACAAGCAACTGCTATCTTGATGTACCAGGTCAAGATAGGACCTAGGATTGCACTTGACTTCAAGCACTCCAGTGGAACAATTCCTTCTGTTTGAATGCACTATTTGTCAAAACAAAAAAAATGCTGGGAAACGTACCAGTTTCAACTAGGTTTTGTTAAAGTAAAAAAAAAAAAAACAAAAACCAAATGCAAACAGAGGGGTTTCTGAAAACATATTTTCAAAGTACTGAAAAGTACAATTTTCTAGTTCAAATGAGTTTTCATTTTAAGTTTTTTAAGAACAAAAACCTGGAACATTTTCTTCTGAGGTCCAGAGAGACACAAAGACCAAAAGTAAAGCCTTAAGTCCAAACATCTCCTATACTCTATGAATAAGCAGTTTACTCCACAAACACTAATGAAACATTCAACTGTTTTAGAGAGACACATTCCTGCTATTCCCACTTGCTCATTTCTTCATGAGCCATACAAGAAGAAATTCTATTCCCTGTTTAAAATGTTAACCAGAGTTTTTCGCTCCCTCCACCCCCCGAAAGCAACACAAGAAGCACGTGTCTCAGAATCAAGGCAAGAGCTGTGAAAAGGCTCTCATAATTTAGTACCAAACTAGATAAACTTTGAAGAATTTTACCGAGAAGATACAACAGATTTAATTCACAATGAAGACAAACACGTCAGCGGAAAGCAGTGAAGAAATGTTACACACCTTGAATAAGGACCTTGAGAGAGGGAAGTAGAGGAACTTTCATAGCTATAAGGTGTTATAAATTGCTTATAAGCTTTATTATTAATTGTTCAGTTTCCTTATTGAAGAGAGCCCAATCCAAAATGCACTGAAGTCAATGAAAAGGCTTTCCTTCACTTCAAATTATGCCTAAGTTCACCTTATCTTCTTTGAGCGGGCTAGGGCAAAAGGCATTTAAAAAGCAAACAAAACAACCGCAGTAGCTAACATAATTAGACACAATTTAGTCCAAAGTATAGGAATCAATTTAACACCATGTCCATCACAAAGACAGTTTGAACTCCTATTTTTTCTACAAACTGTAATGGTACCTGGTAAATGTCAGTCACAGCAGAGTCTGAAATGGACATGACATGAAAAATACACTTTTTCAAAACCCTGATGCTAACATGGGAGTGAAAAAAGACCAATTTCCCCCCAGCACCGGCAACACGTCATTCCTCATGGCACTGTCCTGGTGAGGAACCTTTTCCTGCCAGATACCAAACATCCAGCCCTCCAGAGGTGAGAAGGCTCGTACTTTTACACCAGGAGTTTCAGAGTGTGTAATGAATAAACTGTAATTCTAAATAGTACTTCTAGGCCAAACAATAGCCATATTTAAGCACATTCTCTACCATCTGAATAAAGTTCTGGTTTTTAAATAATAGCTTTTAAAGGTCACATTTTCACATGGAACACCTTTATAGTGAAGAAAAAAGAATACAGAGTGCTCATACATAATCTGTAGTTTACATACTAATCTTTCAGATTATTAACAGATTATTGTTCCTGGGGGTTTGGGGGGGGGGCAGTCTTCCTTAAAGAAATAGGTATTTGGTAAAATATATGAGCAGTTCATTTTAACAAGGTTGGCGGCCTGTTTGCTTTTCAAGCAGAAGGTGTTTCAAGTGCATCACCAAAACGGAGCATCAGAACATTCATTCATCCACGGGACACTAATGCACATTTGGGCTGTTTAGTCATTCTGCCTTCAGCCCAAAAAACACCCAAGGATTAAGCTAATGGTCCATTAATACATGCCCTGGAGTGTCATTGTGCTTTACTAAGGGGAAATACATCTCTCTAATTCCTATAGCATCATAAACCTAGCTTAACAGAGCAGAATTCTTCCTACCATTTGTTAGTTTTCCTTAAAAAATTCATTTTCAGTAAAGGCTAGTTGCCTTCAATCTGGTGCGATGAGTGGGAGGGACATTGCTTCACCCTCTCTGTATCTATGCAGAAGAAAGGAGGAAGGGAAACAGCTGGCTACTTTCCACAGTAGCTGGATTCAGCCAAAGAAAAGCTCCACCAGATGCTTGCATGCTGTAACAAACATAACTGCAACTCCCAGGCCCTGATTCAGCTAAGCACGGCATTTCAAATGTATACTGGAGAGGAGATCCTGATTTTTTCTGGAGAAAAAGGCATTCGTGGTATTGGGAATTGCACTGCCACTGATTGCATTTGAATAGGATTATATACTTCTACCACAGTTGTCATCTGTATTCATAGGGCTCAAGGGAAACCAGAAGATAAACTGCTTTTCTTCAGTTCAGGGATGGAGATCTGATTCTCCTTGATTTTATCCCTGCAAACAAATGCAGAGGGAATGCACAAAACCAGACAAAATCCCTTAGCCACCTTTTTTTCCTGGTTTGTTTTTTTTCCTGCTTGTGTTCTCAGGCCCAGCAGGGACCTACCTGGCTCACAAAGCAAGCAAGCAAGAACAGCTGCAGGGCAACATCACATTTGCCCACAGTTTTCCATGGCCTTCTAGATGCACAGAACAGCTGGCACGTATGAGGGTTCCAGCCACACTGCCAACAGCTCTTCCCTGTGTCATGGGTTTGGAGCTAAGCCCAATTCAGAAACTCTACACCAGCTCTATGTCAGGCAGGAGGCTGCTTAAGCATTGCTGGGAGGCCACCAGGCAGTGTGGTAGGGGCCATCTACAGCCCCCTTGAACCCCGTTGTCCCCAGCGGTGCAAGAAGGTCTGAGGCACACATCTTAGCTCCAGTTTCTCCTCCTCCAACTTTCAAACTGAACCCTCCAGTTACTGTGGGAGATTGTGCACGTGCCAGATGTGCAAACAGCTCTGCCTAAACCTCATTTAGCTTCTGAGCTCTCAATCTCTCCCATACCTGCCTTGGGAATGAAGACACTTTTTGCATCTCTTAAGACCTACTTCCACCCAGTGCTGTGCAGATACCTTTCTTTCCATATAACTATACAGAGTCCTGTGTGTTTATATTGGACTGCAAATTGGTTGCTGCAGCCCAATATAAACATACACGAGGAAATTCTGGCCTTGTGTACCGCCAGTTTGAGTCCTTGAGTTAAGAGAGGCACAAGAATTTCAGTGTTTGCAGTCAAATCAAACCTGATTTAACTGATAGTGCTAATGGAGGCTTAGCAATTCTGGGATACAGGGTACTCTGGTTAAGTCACCTGCATGGGAAATTCAGAGGTTGTCTGGATGCCAAGTAAGCCTTTCCTGAAGGCACAGAGGGAGGGAAAAATGAGCAAAACCCTTGAAAAACATCTGTTTGTTTCTAGTTCCTCTTGTCAGTCAGGCTTCTTGCCAAAAGCTCATTAAAGGTAATTAAAGGGAGGAAAAAGTGTATGATCATATTTATTATGTAGATAAAGAAGTTGGGGGGGGGGGTTATGTTAAAAAAAAGAGAAAGAAAAAGTCTTGATACCTCTGCTTCTTGTAGGGTCCCATGGTTCAAGCATACCATGTCTGGACATGTGATAGGAGAACCACAGCCTTCTTGAATTGCCAGCTGCATGTACTGTTTTAGGCACTAGAAACAAGTAAAGAAAAGAAAAAAAAAAGTTATAGCCCACATGTTGGTAACACACAGATGCTAGAGATGCTGCACAGCTACCACCTCCACTGCCTTAATTGGCTGTCCTGAAGCTCCAGCACACAGAAAACATCAATTATTACAAGCATGAATGCTACAAGTCATTACATTGGAAAGAATGCAACAAAGACCAATTAATTATGCATGACTTCATCTGCCAAGCATTGCGTTTACCCAAGTCAGCAAGTCAGACCTTTCAGCACTAACAACCCTTATGCTCTGCTAAACTGGGATTGGAAGATTTAGGAGGGGGGAGTATCTTTCATCCTAATTAAACAGGCTTCGCTCTTTTGTCTTTCCTTCTGTGTTCTTAATTCAGACTCTCAGCCAGCAGTCTCCATTGTAGGAGACTTCATTTACAAGAAAGAGACTACTGTTCTCAGCTGCATAAAAGGGGAAGAGGGTTTATAACCTGGATAGGAGGTTATAATCAGCCCTAGAAGATGTAGAGCTACCAGTTCTTCCCCCTCCCCAGATCAGGCAATTTCCATGGTTTACCATGATTTATCACCAGCCTCTAGTCTATTAAGCAGGAGTTCAAAGTCCATTTCCAGCATGAAGACCACCTCCTGAATGTTTCCAAATTGGTTCATTACACAAAAATGCCAGGCCTCCCTCCTCCAAGGAAAAAAAGCCCTCTGTTCTCCCCACATTTTATTTGGCATGCCAGTTCCAAATATACTCAGCTTGTCTTTTTAACACATATTATAGAGTCTTCAATAAAATCATGGCATAAAACTGGTGCAATGGCCCAAAGAACTGTGCTTGAATTGTATCTCCAAACTGCACAGGTTAAGTCAGTGAGCTCATTTCTAAATCAAACAAAGCAACCAAGTCTCCTCAAAATAATGACAAAGCATACAGTAAATTGCAAATCACTGTTAACAAAGTAACAAAACATGGCTTTCTGGCAGATTTTGGTATCAACTTGCATAGTTTATTGTAAATTAAAACCAACATATTTTACAAGCAGCAGGACTAATGCAGCTTTGTTCCCTCCAGATTTGTATTTCACGCCCACGTGATAAACCTCTCCTCCTCAGTACTGCTGGCTTCTTCCCTTATTGCCCCATCAGTTTTCAAGAAACAAGTCAAAGCATAAGGTCTTTGAAACCTCTGTCTCTGCCAACTTCTGGAACAGCACTGGGTTCAAAAGCTACTAGGTGGGTTATGGGGAAATCACAGCCTTTCAGAGCATCACCTCGGGTTAAAGCCCCAAGACTCTTCAAAAACTGTTCTTCCAGTATTTACAGGCATTTAACATTCAAGTCGGTGTTAGTTTGGACTGTTCTGAGAAGGCCTTGCATGTTGTGCTCTGAAAAGAAATTTCCTCATTTGTATTTTTATTGGAAAACTGGTACCCTCTGAAATGTCAGGATAATTAGGACTTTTACAAATGGAAATGAGGTTTCCTTATTATTCTGTCTGTCTCTCTACTGAAACGTCCACATCCACATGTTTTGGTTAATTCTGAGGAACTATACAGAGATATTAGTTCAAGCAAGTAGAATCAGCTTAACTTAGTGTCATTTTAAATGAGCTCACTTTTGATTTGCAAATATTTGAAGTGTATTCATTTAGAAGAATGTAGGGGTACAACCTAAATGGTAGCTTTAAATATCTAGCTCATTAAGCACTAATGGATTCAGATCCAGCACACACCCCTATAGGAAAGCAGTAGAGCAGCCTGTAAGGAATTGATGGTGCAAGCAGTATGTGGGAGGTGAGGGAAATGCTCACAGGTGAAGAGCAAAAAAGAAATCATGTCAGTAACTGAAGGCAATATTAGCTTCTTGGGGAATATCAGCCAGACTTAACCAGGAACTATTCTTTTATTATTCAAACAGCAGTATCAGTGCCTTGTCCCATCTCCTCGCCCACCTCTCCCAAAGGCATCTAGGCACAGTGCTTGTAAAAAGTCAGTTTAACCACCGGATCCAATCACCCCACTAGTACATGCAGCTCCTCCACAGAGCAGTGAGCAGAAGCAGGTACGTAACCACGGTGGTGCCTGGGAGCCGGTACCCCAGAGACACCAGAGCTGCCGGGGTCCTGCCCACATCTGCTGCCACCACGGTCTGGGCAGTGGCAGCACGTGACACAGGGAAAGCCAAAAAAAGTGTCCCCAGAGCCCAGGGTGACTCCCAGTGCCATTACTGATACAGATGAGGACTGTGGGTGACCTGTTCCTGCAGCCCCACATTCATTAAGCACCTGGCATTACCCACATGCTTCAGCCCGTATCACAAGCGAAACGGGGTTATCAAGTGCTCACTCCCTGCACAAATTTCCTCCCTGGTTCGTGCCTGCACCCAGCCTCTACCAGCAACGATGCAAACAGAAAATTCTGCCCTCTGAGCCCCTTCCCCAAAGCCAGCATGCGCTGCAGTGTGTTGGGTGCACTTCTTTGATCCCTGGGTGATGCTCCAGCAGAGCCTCCTTACATCTCACTCCCTCTCCTCATGGGAGACCTGATTACTTTCTGGATGAACTGTCAGGGAAGCATTTGGGGAAGGGGGAATGCTTCCCTCCCACCAAAGCATTTAGTTTGCCTTAATTCCTCAGCAAGCATGGGAGAGCAACCTTTTACTTTCGCTAAGATCCTGGCTTCTGTCTCCTCTGTGGTGCTGCCTGATAGTTAGTAATTTGTTTTGACAGCATGGTACAGTGGATTTGTATTCTGGGGGCAGCTCAGGTCAGCTGGTTACAGAGGGAGGACAAAGCCTGAGAAGTTACTGCAGGCCTAGCAGCATCCCAGAGGCTTGTTCTTAATTTAGATTTCCAGGACAGAAGCTCAGAGCACTGACAATTACCCTTCCGTGCAAGGATGGGCATGAAGCTCTTAAGGCGCTTCGATCCACAGTATGGATTTTGCAATCAGTTTCAATATGCAGTATCTAAATCATTAGGGGTACCAAGCCAGGAGAGCAGAGGTTTCTGAGGATTGCTAATGCATCTGGACTCTCCTTCTCTTCTAGCTCACTGCCTGGTTATAGGCGAAGATAGGTGAGCAACTGGAGCCTTTTGTGATATTTTTAGAGGGTGCTGTGCTTTCAGAGGGTGACTTGGGACAGATTTTATAATAGGGCTGTGCAGTGCCATGGATCTTCAAACGTTTCAGAGAAAACCTCCCTGTTAAATAGTTTTTATAGTTATTATATCTTTTGCCTTGATTTTCTGCATTTGGAGAAGTTGCTGCGGGTGCAAATCAGGAAGCTGATGGAAGGACTCAAAGGTGCTGGGAAACTCGAAGGAAGCATTTAACATGTACCACCGAAGGATTACGCTTTTTACCCAAGTCTGTACATGAATGAATATGTGAACTTCTTGCTCCCTCTTTCACAAGTTAGGAGCAAAGAAGACACAGTGGAAAATCACTAAAATTTTAAAATATGCCTTCACTTTAACAGACTGGTTTTAGAGGGGTTTTACTATCAACTACAGATCAGCTACTAATTTAGCTACTTACTTGAAAAGTGGCAAATAGAAGTATCTGAAAAGATGTACAAGCTGCAAATGTGATGAAAAGAGGATTCAATGTCTATATAATAAGTCATGACTGACCTTCTCAGCAGTATGTCCTCCCACACTATGGAGAATACATTATACAGACATAAAATGGTAAGACTTTGTGCATTTTGTCTAAAAAAATCAGCAGTATCTCAGTTAGGAAAACTGCACGCACTACATATGCTACTTAATTGCTCTACAAAGCAAAGGTAAGATCAAGATACTCAGCCTTCTGTGGTATTAGAGTTCCTTGAAAGGATCTTAATCTTGACATCCAAGAAATCACCAGGCCTCAACACCCTTGGGCTACACTCGCCCACCAATTTCCTGCAGCGCGGTGAGAGCAGTCAGCAGCTGGAGAGGCCACACCACAGGACCTGTGGCTTACAGTGACAGTCACCCCATCGTCTTACCCTCCATGGCCAGAGCAAGTCATCCGCAGTGACCCTCCTCCTACCAGCACAGTGAGGTTTCCACGAATGCATCACATAGTCAAGGCAGAGTGGTTGAGGCAACAGACTAAAAATCTGCTGAGGTCTTGCTGAACAGGTTTGAATCCTACTGACTACAGATGAAGTTGGATGTTTGGCTCCGTTACGTTCACCCCTCAAATAAATGGTAGACACCAACACAAGGAATTTTAACTTCCATACCTGCAAGCGTACCCTAATCAGTTACATTCAGTTTACTCAGATTTTCCCCACTGAGCAACTATACCATGTACATATGAGAGTTCTGGGATACACAACAAAATCCTGATGCAATCAAGCAAGAGGGATCAATTCAAATGTGATAATGTAATTCCACCAGTAAAACTCAGTACACCTAACAGAAGGCTTTGGTGCTGAACTAACTTTGCCAAGCATGTTTTGCTCCTGCTGGACTACTGTCAACTTCAGTGGAAAGAGTACTACAAGTAATTTTTCTCTGCCTGAGATTCATAAAGTATAATGACACCTTTTTCAAATAATTTGCTGTCTAAGCATTTTGGGGCAAGAATTTTTTTCCTCTTATGCTGCTTTTGTCTTTCAGGCCATCACCTTCCTCTATTTAATAAAATAAGGTCAGTATCAATTTACCTACTTCACAAAATGCTACTCACAAGTAAGTTAAGGCCTGTAAAGTACCTGGATCAAATTATCATGCAACATAAATGCATTTCTTTTTTATCTTGCAGGACTCATAAGAAAGATTACGATTTAGCCAAATATTTACATATGTCCCAAGTACACACTCCCCTCCTGGAGCTAAGGCTTTGTTGAAAGTGTATGTTGTAACATGAGGGAAGAATCTTTAAAAAAGCACCGAAAAGCCCAATCCAGGAATGCACAAACTAATAACATAAAAAATTCCTTCTTCAGTAATAAACACTTCCTCTAATCTTCAGAAGTGTTTTCTACGGTCAGCTGCGAGCCCCAGGAATACAA